GGGGGCCCTAATCGCCAGCGAGCGTAGTTAATGACAGTGAAAAGGGAGATAAATATGAAACGGCGAAGAAGGTGGAAAGCTGATGGTAATTTGTTTCCGTGGGCGGGCGAGAGTGGAAAGGCGTGGCACCGCGTAACGTGTGATGAGGTCGCGCGGGTACCTGTATCTGTATCTGAAGGTGATTAAGGCTGCGCCAATAAGATAATGTTGTCTGTGTGGAGATACTACTGTACTGTAAGACCCATCCGATAAAGACATGCAGAAGGAAAAACCAAACATCACCGCGAAGAATGACTGAAATATCTACGACGCGAGTAGTGCCACAACACCACTCGAACGACTAGTGAACACGTGCCTACCCCCTATATATTCCCAATGATGCCCACGCGGGGGCACTACAGCAATGCAAAATGCAACTTCGCGAAGGAAGAGATAACTCGAAAGAATGAAAAAGTTATAACAGAGAGAAAGCAAGGATTCCATACTCGACAAAACTACCCATTGATGTGAAACGTAAACAAAAAAAGACATTGAACGTAGCTACTGACGTCCGTGGGTCCAACGTGACCATAAACGAGCCAGAAGGACATACGCCGAAATCAAACCATCGACTAGTCAGCGCTTACTTGTCTAGACTAATGGTATAATTTCGGCTTCTATAAAAGTTAGTGGTGGGTTCGAGATGCTTTGGAGGGTGGTTTGAAATAAAGTATAGCATTTAACTACAGGCGAACACGATCGTCCTCGAACCAGTCAACGCCAATGATACGGGGATGGAGTGTAGACGCATCGTAGAACTCGTTTTCGTTTGAAGTTGGCGTCTTGTTTGAGAGTAGATGTGACAGATTTGCGTAGAATAGGGTACACGATGTTATCATGAACGGAGAAGAAAGGGCTTTTCCAACACGGAGATGTAGGATGGATCAAAGCATTTGTTGGATTTCAGCTTTTACAAGAGGACATCAACGCAGTAGTATTTTTGCAAGCCTACCAACGCATGTAGGATACCATGAGGATTGTCATTGGTTTTATTTCAAATTGAAGAGGAGATATTTTTGCGATGTAAGTGACAGTAGAAATAAGTCCTACATATGTTGTACTTCGTATTGGTTTAATATCGATACATTAAGTGAAAGTTTTCTGAGGTACATCTGCAATTGTCGAAAGGCAAAAAAAAAAAAAACAGCACATAACTATATGCGGCAGTTTGCAAGGTCGTATGTGATTGGTTCTAAAGCGGAAGTATGTATCGGATAAATACACATTGAACTATGTACAGATTTGGAAATGCGGCTGTAAGAAGACCATGAACTGATTCTGTCCATCTGTCGCGTCAGCTGTCGGGTACAGTCGGGCTTGTGGTGT